CAATCCGTAGTGAAAAGAGGGGATCATAGGGCGAGTGTACTTACCTGCAATATCTCTCATATTTTTATCCAAATCATTTTGCATCATTCTCTTATTTTTAAAATCCAAAAATACGTCTTTGTCTTTATTTTCTATTGTTCTTCAAATCACTTGGGTTTTATATCTTGAAAGGACGTTTATAAGATATTCGCTCATAATCCCTGTGGAGACGATAACTTATTTATCACTTTATTACTTGAACGATCGGTACACTTGCCGGACTGTATCAACATCCTATAGCCTATTTCAGTAAGAAATTGTCACTTAGAATGCAGAAATCATCAACTTATGTGCGGGAACTTTATGCAATCACAGAAGCAGTTAAAAAGTGGCGCCAATATTTGCTTGGAAGGAAGTTCCTCATTCGAACAGACCAGAAGAGTCTTCGAGCATTGCTTGATCAAGTGGTGCAGACACCCGAACAACAATATTACTTGGCTAAATTGCTGGGCTTTCAATACTCCATCGTGTATAAACCAGGGAAAGAAAATAGAGTTGTGGATGCCCTTTCTAGACACCCTGTTGTGTTCTCCTTACAGATGCTAGTCACTGTTCATTTTGACATACTGGATGCCTTGCGCAAAGAAAATCAGGATTCCACTTATTTTTTACACCTACATCAAGAACTGAAGCTCCAACCCAAGCACAAAGACATGGAAATCAGATATGGACTGTTACTCCAAGGTGGGAAGCTATTACTCGATCCTAAGTCCCCCTTGGTGCAGCAAATTTTACATGAAACACATGCCACTCCAATTGGTGGTCATTATGGAATACAGAAAACAATGGCTAGAACTTCTTCTGTTTTTACATGGCCAGGCTTACACAAGGATGTCAAGCACTTTGTCAACCATTGTTTAATTTGCCAACAATCTAAATACTCCACTCACACTCCTGCTGGTTTGATTCAACCTATTCCTGTACCTCAAAAAATTTGGGAGGATTTAACTATGGACTTTATCATAGGTCTTCCCAATTCGCATGGTTATACTACAGTATTAGTTGTAGTTGACAGATTGTCCAAATATGCACATTTTGGTGCACTACCTACTAAGTTTAATGCAGCAAAAGTAGCACTGTTGTTTTCCCAGATGATCTGTATGCTGCATGGGTTTCCAAGATCAATTATTTCGGATCGTGACCCTGTGTTCTCAAGCAAATTTTGGACAGAAATGTTTAAACTGAGTGGCACACTGTTAAAAAGATCAACTGCTTACCATCCTCAATCTGATGGCCAATCAGAGGTAGTGAATCGCACATTGGAGCAGTATTTGCGTTGTTTTGTTGCTGACTATCCAAGCAAATGGTTCACCTACTTGCATTGGGCAGAACTCAGTTACAACACCTCATTCCATTTCTCTCCAGGTATGTCACCATTCAAGGCTGTCTATGGTCGTGACCCTCCCTCGATGCTAGATTATTTACCTTTTTCAGCATCCGTAGCAGAAGTAGATCACATGTTATGTAACAGACAAGAAGTACTCACAGCATTGAAGGCCAATTTGCAACATGCCCAACAATCTATGCAAAAGAATGCCAATCAACATAGAAGAGATGTACACTATAAGGTGGGAGATTTGGTTTGGGTGAGGCTCCAACCATACCACCAAATATCAGTGGCCAACCATATGTCCAACAAGCTCTCCAGGAGGTATTTTGGTCCCTTCCCTATTCTCAAACGAGTGGGTGCAATGGCTTATCAATTGGATTTGCCAATAGTTGCTAAAATACACCACACCTTTCATGTATCCTTACTCCAACCATTCAAGGGTGATGCTATGACCCAACCATTTCCTTTACCAGATACATTTACTACTGGCCACCCTACTTTAGCACCACACCAAATACTCCAAAAACGTACTGCTGTGGTGGATGGTACCACTTGTGACCAAGTACAAGTTTTATGGACTGGCATGCCACATGAAATCGTGAGATGGGAAAACTGGGAACAATTTCATGAACAGTATCCACATTTCAACCTTGAGGACAAGGTTGTTTGTGATGGAGAGGGTATTGATATGATAATAGAACAAGACATGCACGTGGAAACCACAACAGAAGCTCAAGAGGACAGCATGGCAATGGGAAGAGGGAAACGAATCAAGAAACTTCCACTGAGGCTTCGTGATGACGTGGACACTTAAGTCAATTAGTTAGTTAGGAAAGCATAACCATTTGTGTAATAGAATGAATTGATCTCAACAGTATATAAGATGAGGAGAACATGTATTGAAGCATCATCGAATAAGAAATAAGAAACAGAATTCCTTTCTCATCTCTCTGTCTCATCTTTCTCTCCCTAATTCTGCATTTTTAGTGATAGGCATTCCGATCAATTATGTGTATAGGAAATCTCCTTTTAATTTCATTGGTGGGGTAATCTTCACTCAACTTGAAAGCTCAAAATAGTAATCCTAGTTTAGTTTTTGCAAGTTCATTCTTTCGATTATTGCAACTCTTATGGAAGATGAAAATTCTCAAACTCGAAATCCGATCAGAAGGATCCCTTGGAGTTTCGGGCTCAAGTTGATATCTAAAAAAAGAAAAACTCTAATCTTGAGAAGATACGAAAGTATTTAAGTTTAAGAAAGTCCGAAAAGCAGCTCAATCATTTCGCATTTTAAAAGAGTCTAGACTTCTCGCTCTCGACAAATAATTAATTATATGGTGAACTAATAAATTGAATTTCATTCAAAAAATAATCGATTAAGTAAATAATTGATTATCTTGTTCTAAGATTAAATTTTAAGCTTATAGAGTACCAAATAATTGATTGTTGTTCAAAATAATCAATTGTTTCAAATTTTAAGTGAATTTCATCTACACGTTATGTTAAATTTCAATGATCTTAATATTTCATGTCTTTAAATGCAAAGAGATCTTGCTGTTCAACCTACCAGCGCCAGAGCATTTAGAAGAAGGTATGTAAAGATGACACCCTTATTTCACCTTCTGCTCCATTTCACTCTGTTTTGCATTTTTGGGGTTTCATTCTGTCAGATTTCACTGATGTTAAGATTTCGTTTACGTTTTCAATGATAGTGTTTCACCGGTTTGGAGATTTCTCTGGTCTTTGTATTCCAAATGGGAAAGTAATTGATAAAAAATTCTTTATTAATTTACTTGGATGATAGTAACTATGAACTTATGATATATTAATTGACACGAAATAATTCAATTGTAATGAGCTGCTGATAATAAAATATTTAACTATAGAACTGATATATTCAAATATTTAGCATGGCTATTATATTCTATAAGTGTGTAGAAACTACGTATCTTCATAGATGTTGGTCCATTTTATTTTTATGATTCTAAATTATTATGTTTTAACTATTGATGGTTCATATTGAATAGTAGATTTGATGTTGAGATAGGTGGAGATGGAAATAAACATTCTATAAGTGGCGAAGGAGGAAATTTCTTTAATACAATGGGAGTACCGCCTTTTACTAAACGAAGAAATTTTCTTTTCATTTTAACCAATGTTTTCCTTTGTAATTCTCTTAAAGTTCCAAAAACTTTCCTTTTTTAACATGAATGTACCTACAATGGAAGGTTTTCTTGCCAATAAGGGTGTACATAATTGGTTGGTGTCAGAAATCGTTGGTGGTGTTATATGTAATTCCTTCTAAAAATTCTCAAAGAGGTTGAAGGTTCTTTGATATTCCAATTGGGATACCAACATCTAACCTCACCTAAATTTTTTAATAAAATATATATATGAATAAGTTCAAGTGATCATGTCTAACTCCACTAGATCAACCAATCGAACCAGTGGAAAAATTTCAAAAGTAAATAAATAAAATTCAGCATACCACAGAAGTCAACCTAATTTACCATACTGTGCGGTTTGATATCTAGGGACATAATGGGATCACAGATGAGCAAATATATTTGATCAAATTATGAAGTTGCAAACAAGTCTGTATTATTTATGTATGACGTTTTTGCAATGTCTTGTTTTCTATTTATTACATTTCTTAAGCTGTCTCTTTTGATAATCTTTTTTAAAAGCCACTGAACTTTACCAATGGAGTTAACTTTTAAATGTCTAACATTTAGGTCAAACATGAAATCGATATTGCCAAACCAGTCGAAATGCTACAAGGCATGCTTGATTCCAGCAATATTTGGGATCAATCTTTTCGAATGGCTATAGATTCGACGAGAATGAAAAATCTTCGGATTAAGATTCGATGATAATGGCTACAACACACGCTCACTTTTGGCATAGGAATTTCCGGAAAATTTAATTCACCCCAAAAGAGTAATTAGGGTAATGAAATCCAAAAAGTTTTGTTGTTCCTTTTCTGGATGATTTATATAAAATTGTTGGATACTCAATAGTTTGATTACTAATGAATTATATATAGTTTAAATTATTTGTACGTGACTCTTTCTTCAGTGTTTCTTAAAGTACATTATTCAAATAATATGACGTGATATTAGATTATTTTCAAGTCGGTGGTAAATCCATACTAAAATATGAAAGCGGGTATTTGAAAATCATGTGATATTCAGATTTTACAAAAACTAATCATTCGTTTTTACTTTTATGAATACAAATGCTGCATGATAATTACAAATTGATTTAATAGATAGACTAGCATGCTTTGTCAAGTGATTTATTTTTTCTTTTGGTTGTTTTCTTTACATGACATCTTATCTCAATATTTGAACTTTCTTCCTTGATAAATTTCTTTTTCTATAACAAAAAGCATATTTTGGATAAATGGATGATAAAAGAGCACATTAAGCAGACAAGCAAGTATTAGGTTTCATGTCTCACCTTAGAGATGAAATTTGGTGCTCCCGGACCACAAGATTTTGGATGAGGCGCAGGAGAGAGAGAGGGAGATATATTGAGGAGAGAGAAGAGAGAAAAAAAAATTCCATGTGTCACTCCCTTAATGGGAGGACCACCATGGTCCAGCAACATATTAAAAATTTCCCTCACTTTAAACATGAAGGTCCAAATTTATTTCTTAAAATTGTTTCTTTTACAAAAATTACTATGAAACTGTGTTCAAATGAGAACGTCCTCCCAACAAAGGAGAACCTGAATACCATTCCAAGCATGCCAATACACCACACCACAGAGCCCTGAAATGAAGGAGATGTTAGAGGTTTTAATAATCAAGAAATACTTATAGGTCACTATTGCTGACAATTACAAGACCCTAACATATTGCATGCCAACGAAGAGGTAGAGGAATATTTGCATCAAAATCTAAAAGCCACATTTTTTTTCTTTTTCTGGAGAAGTAAAGGAAGGAAGGATATTCGATTACAAAAAGCAACGGGTAAATTTCAATCATTTAAAAGTGGAGTAAGGTACATAGAGTTCTCCTAACATATTACACCAATTTAACACAGTACAGTTGAGTGAATAGAGTTAAGGTATGCAACTCAGAAAAATTTCACAATCATGTATGTTACATCAAAAGAAAGAAAATGGTGTTTCAGAGAGCCGCCCCTAGACAGTGCTCGAACCAAATTAAACAAGCTTGGATACCAAAAAAAATAAAAGAAAGAAATACTTCTAAGCTCAACTAGGAAATAGAATGCAAAATGCTCCAGAGTAGATGAAGGGCACTAACAAGTTGAGCCAGAAGAATAGAAGCGGGAAAAGAAAAAAAAAAATCAAACTACCAGCCCACACCTGTAACAAAATAAGTCAAACTGAAGTTCTCAAAACTAGTAGGGGTTGGAGGAACTATAACGCTAATGTTTTCCTTCCTAAGCAGTGCTAAATTAACTGCATTTCCAACATTTTTCTGTAATGGGATTGTTTTCTTTCAACCTTTACATTGCCAGATAGGCATTCAGATTCAAACAGTCCCACGGCTGTTTAGCCATACTCGTGTGCAAAAAAACCTTTAATATAATCCATTAACACACGCGATTACTTCACCAGAATCAAGCATTAAAATCAACTAATCCAATTGGAAGGCCAATCAACAACACTCAACCCACTACACTTAAGATCACTCTACAAGCAACATGTCTCAATCAAGGAATCAATAACCATCTTTAACATTCCCTTAAAACAAAGTAACATCACGCAGACTGTGATGTAACTAGAATCAAATAAGGGCAGTTTGATGCTATAAAGCTTCCGCTATAAGTAGGGTCTAAGGAAGGCAATTACACGAAATTGTAACATCACTTATGTGTCATAAGCAAGGTAGTTAAAATCGAGATTTTAGGTAATATCAGAAGGCAATAAAAAATCGTAAAACGTAAAATCGTAAAACGTAAAAAAAATCGTAAAAACATAAAAGCTTTTGGAATATTTTGATGAAAATCATAAAATTATAAAGATAAATTGAGATTTTAACTACCATGGTCACAAGGCCAAACCACGCCACCCATGGTAGTTAAAATCCCGATTTAAATCTGCAATTTTACGATTTTTTTTTAATCAAAATGATTTCATCAAAATTCCAAACACTTATATATTATTACGATTTTTTTATGTTAGGATTTTACATTTTACGATTTTTTATCCTCCTTCCGATTTTAGGTCACCAAGACATTTATTTAACATACAATTATTAAACCAAAAAGAAACACAAACTAAATAACAATTATTAAACCAAGCAGAAACACAATCTAACAAACAATTATTAATCCAAGCAGAAACACAATCTAACAAACAATTAATAAACCAAGCAGAAACACAATTTATTAAGCAATTATTACACCAGGCAGAAACACAATCTATCAAGCAATTATTACACCAAGCAGAAACACAATCTATCAAACAATTATGAAACCAGGCAGAAACACAATCTAACTAACAATTATTAAACCAAGAAGAAACACAATCAAACTCAAGCGAAGAAGAATAAGAAGATTACCGAGATGACATAAATCAACGGCCAGGGTTAATAGCCATGAGCAAGTTCTTTCCACCAGGGAGATAAGCCACATTGGGGGACTTAGCAAGTGTTGAAGCAACTTCCCTCGATGCCTCAATCCTCCTAAGCTCAATCAAACCATTCCCAGCCGCCGCAGTGGCGTCGGAAATCAGCTTAGCAGCCTCGCTCTCTCCCTCGGCGCGAATAATCGCGGCGCGCCGCTCCTGCTCGGCCTTCATCACAACAAACTTGGACCTCTCAGCCTCCTGCTGAGCCACCTGCTTCTGCTCCACAGCACGTGAGAATTCATACCCATAAGAAAGGTGCGTGATTGCCACGTCATCAAGGACAATGTTGAAATCCTTGGCGCGATGAATTAGGCTCTCACGGACCAAAGCCGAGACATGGGGCCGTTCCGTTAGGAGCTGGTCGGCGTTGAACTGCGCGACGACAGCCTTTAGAACCTCGTTGCCAATCGAAGGGAGGACCTTCTCGTCGTACTCTAGTCCGAGGTTCTGTACGATGACAGGGAGACGCGCGGTGTCGGGGCGTGAGAGCACGCGGAGGGTCAGGTTGACCATTTGGAGGTCCTTGGTGCCGGAAATGGAGGAGAATGTGTGGGGGCGAGTGCGGATGTCGAAGATGTAAGGCTTTTGGACCCATGGGATGAGGAAATGGGTTCCCTCTCCGACGGTTTCGTCGAGGATGCCGCGGAAACGGTCGAAGAGGACGGCGCGCTGCCCGCCGTCGACGGTGAAGAGGGAGGAGTTAAGGGCGGTGCCCGTCACACCTAGGCCGAAGGCCAAGCGAGCGATGTTGGTGAGGAACGACAATACGCCCCTGGTGCTTCCCATTGAGGTTGTGAAGGTTTAGGGTTTATGAGAGGGAGAGGGAGAGGCACAGTGAGTGAGGGTTTTTCTTGCATCTTCTTCGTTTTCTCTTTTATTCATTGAACTTGGCTTATTATGGAAAATTGTTAAATTTACATTGGTTGGGTGGGCTTGTTGAATTGGGGCTTGGAAAAATTTCTTTTTTCTTCCACAATGATGATTTTGCATTTCTTGTTTTGGGCCTTAAAAAATGTTAACTGAGTTTTTTTAAAAAAAAAATTTATGAAAATAAATAAGTTATAATTTTTTCAAAATAATTTATTCTCAAACATGCACTTATTTTAATTTTTTTAAGTAATGCTTCAAAATTGTTTTACCGACCAACTCCTAAAGTAACATTTAGAATAATAATTTAATAGGTTTTATATATGTTATGTTGTAGGACACTAAAAGTGTCATGTTACTCTAATGCATTTGATGTGAGTCCCACTCAAAAAGTAAAAAAAAAAAACAAGGCGAGTCTCATTTGTCATGTGAGAGTAACATGACACTAAGAATGTCGTGCAACATTATATGTATAAAACCCTAATCATCAAACATGTGGATCAATTAATGAAAAGTTATTCTAATTTAGTCAGCGATTTTAAGTTCTAGCTTTGAATATGGAGTTGCATAAAAACCTAACCGGGAAGCTTAATTGATTTGTGACTGGATATTGAATTGAGAATTCATATATTTTTTCTATAGAGGATTTTCCAGTAAAAATAGTGAATTTTGTGAATTGTGACTAAATATATTTGTATCATATAATTTGAAAGTTTGTATAAGCATTGAAGACTCTATAGTCATTTTTACAAAGTTTGAAAGAAGTTACTCACCATTCATTCTATCCTTTCATTTATTGTTAATGTAATATGAGTCTCATTTATCTATTTTTATTGAAGAAGTAGGCACTACAAAAGTATTAAATATTTACTCACAATGTGAAAATTCAACTACCAAGTAATAAATGATTGACAATTCAGTTTCAATGTTAATATATTTGTAAGAATTGTAAGTATCAAAATAATCCCCTTGATGTTATCAAAAAAAAAAAAAAAAATAATCCCCTTGAAGGGTCTTGAGTTGGCTTGGTTATTGGGCCTTTGGAAAATAGATTACAATATTCTATTACAAGTACTTTCCAAATTAGAAAGCAACTCTAACCACAAATCAATTACAACTAATAAATTTATATCACAAAAGCTTGCTCACTAGAAAACTTCCACACAAAAGGCAGGTTTATCTCAAAGTATCTATTCATCAAACAACTAAACTCAACCTACGCAGAACCAATAGATCTTTAATTCTTGCTAGCCACTAACATAAATACCTCTGTAATCTTCAATTTGAACTTCTTGATGAACATTGAATTCTGATGTTGTTGTTTCATGATCACTAGTATCATCTTCATCCAAAACTCATAACCAATTGAAACAAAACTACTCAATTAGACAATCGATCCCAACATAACCAAGCAATATTAGATATACTTATAAAATATTATGCCTAATAACTCAAAGCATTACCATTAAGATTCACAAGAAACCCATGCAACCAATTCCTGGTGCAAATTAACATTTGGACATTTTTAGGAAGAGTTGAACTTCTATATTTGGTAAGAACACGTCCACCGATACTAAAAGCATATTCTGATACAAGTGTAGTAATTGGAATACTTAGCACATCTCGGGGCATAATAGAGAGTGTGGGAAATCTATTCTCATTATGCTTCCAATAATTAAGCACATCAAAATCCTCCCCGTCACCAGATTTAGCTTTTGGTTCATCCAAATAAAGATTTAATTCACTCTTACCAGCAACAAACATACTTTCATTCTCAAACATTTCAAACTCCTACAAGATATGATATATCAATTATATAAATGAAAAAACAATTAAAAAAATATTAAATTAGGATGAAAGAACTTGCATTAATGTGTAATTTTAATTTTTTGGGTTTACTGCTTTCACCACTTGACTTGTGCAGGAGATTGGATTTAATGGATGAATGAGAATTAGAAGCACTTGATCCTTTGAGATTGCTAGCATATTCTTCATAAAGCTTCTCAAATTTATCTCTTATATTTTTAACCTTATTTTGAGAGGTGAACGGGTCAAGTTTTGAGTAGCAAAAGTCTAAGAAAACAAGCTTCAAACGCAGGTCAAGAATAGCTCCAAAAGCTAGGACTGTACTGTATTCCTTCCAATATTTGTCAAACTTCTCTTTCATTATCATTGCCATATCACTTAACATGTCATCATCATTACACAAGTTTTCGTCCAGTATGCACTCAATCTTCCAAACTTGTACAAAGTACAAGTTAGAGGTTGGATAAGATGAACCATAAATCATGTTCGTAGTCTCATAAAAGGGTTCTAGGGATTCATATATTTTATCTCCTCTTCTCCATTCTTCACATGATGGACAATATTTGTAATTCTTATCTAAAACTTGGAGAATATCAAATGCCTTTTCATACTTAAGTGCATTTTTATCTTATCCTCTCACATACTTAACACTTTCTCTAATTTTATAAAGTGCTTCAGTAGCCACTTTCAGACCTTCTTGAACAATTAAATTAAGTATATGTGCATAGCAATGTATATGAAAAAATTTACCATCACACGACAAAGTATTCTGCAAATAGAGTTGGTTTATCAATATAAGTTGCATGTTATCATTTGCAACAATATTGTCCAAAGTGATAGAAAATACTTTCTTCTCAATTCTACATTGTTTCAAGCAATCAAATATAGTGACTTCCAATTCAATCCCAGTGTGTGGAGGTTTCATTAAAAAAAAATAAGAATCTTGCTAATTAATTTCCAGTTTTCATCAACAAAATGAATAGTTAAACCGATGTAACTCTCAGTGGTAGATGTTGTCCAAACATCATAAGCTAGACATACTCCATTAGGAACTTTAGATATGAGTTGCTTAAGTTTGTCCTTCTCTTTGATACATATTTTTTAATATGACACAGTAGTGTTCCTAGAAGGCATCACAATATCGGGATTCACATAATCACTCCACTCTTTGATTTTCTCATATTCAACAAAATTAAAAGCAAGATTATGTTGAATTATAGCTTGTGCAAGCAATTCTCGATGGGTCATTTAATTAATCTTTCTCTTGATAGATGTAACACCCTATTACGGACCGGTTTGTTAACAAATAATATGGTAATAAAAGCTCAACCTATTAATTAATTAAGCAAAATACTTATTACAAGTATCACTATAGCTTACCATTGACTATGTCACTTAACCTTTTCTTTTTATTTTTGTTTATGTAATTGTCTTACCTAACTTATTAAATTTCAGTTTGTATCCTATACAGCGCCATAACTGCATAGAATCTTTACTTAATAAATAGTGACCATAAACAATGATCAAATATCTATCCAAATAAAATAACATGTATCATTTCTGACAGAGACTGCGGATAACATAATGGCTATAAATTGGACTAATCTAGGGATCGCAATCCCACTAAAAACTCCGCACCTAATAAACGACAAGTTCAATCCATATAAATAAACATATAGATATCAAAAGATAGCTATATGTCATTTCTACTATAACATTATACAGCATACTATATAAACATATATATACATCTCCATGTCACAAATGTTACAAATATACATAGGCTAGTGTAGCCTCTCAAAAATATTATCTAAACATATACAGCAGCATGATACATACAAGTCATGCTATAACAAAACATAAACATAATAGTCTCCAAAATAAGCATCTATCTATCTATTCCAGTAAATCATACTAATCATCCAACATTGGCTTCTTGCCTCTAGCACGATCATCCGCTGCAGATGTACCTAAAAAATATTCCCCAAAGGCGTGAGATTACACTTCTTAATAAACTCTAGGTTTATGGAGAAATCTTCACCAACGAGTTCACTTCCTGCAAGAAATATCAGATACAAAACATAGATAACACCATATAGTCATATAATCCATAATAATATTAGACTTCCTGAACTTATGTCCTTTTCTTGTAGTCTTTTACGCACTATATTAGATTCTCATTAATATTTTATTTATTCATATCTTATGTACTTTTGAGGCTTATATATCTCATCTGAAGCATTATCTCAAAACTACTTCCGAGGCTTATATTCCTCACAGAAGATTTTGTATATCCTAATCCGAAGTTTATATCCCTTATGGATCTTTAAACATCCATATCTTAATTACTTATGCATGTATACATCCAGTAACTATGCTCTAGGGTTGTGTCCCACAAGGAGAGTCTAACATATATACTTTCGAGAATCATAGATCCCTCCGGAAGAACACACATGGTGATCAGAGACTAGTGTCCCCTCGGCCATATCTTATGTATATCGGGATCATAACCACAATGTCATACACAATGATCAGGAACCATAACGTATACTTATCATATCATATCATAACATAGCATAACATAACATATCAGATCATATGCATATCCTATATGAATGCAACTATGTTAATGGTGGAACAACATAGAGGAGAAAGCTCCAAAATTGAAAGCTTACTTGTAATGCTTTTCGAGAAATTCATGCACTTGGTTATCCCTAAATAGCCTGTCTTACTTGAGCTTACTTTTTTTGATTCACGTCTCTTTACTTTCACTGATATCATTAACAAAGTACCATTAAATACTATTCACACAGATTACTTGCCATATAAGTAGCCAACATTTTATATGTTATTTTCAACAGTAAAACTTGGTGATTTTCACAATCACTTTAACAACCTTATTCCTTTAACAATTTATGCCATACACAAGTCTTATAACTTAAACCATAAGTCAAGACCCCACACTATTTAGTTTAATTCACCAACTTAAAGTGGATAGTTCACACTCTATTAAAGCTTATCATGCACCAAGTGGTCTATAAAAGATAGACAATTAACTCACATACTTTCAATAAATATGACTACAATTACACTTAAATCATACTTAATTATACTTGCTACATGTTATCAAACATTTACTTAAATTTAAATCCCATTCTATGCCAATTATCTCATCATGGCCGAATTGTTCATATATC